TCTAACTTACTATATATTCCTAGGGAAGATAGTATCTTAACCTTAATTACTGCTTACAATAATTCATATTCCTACCATAACTACCTGTCTAATGAAGAAAGTAATCATGAAATATTACAATAAAACCCTAAATTCTTAATTGCGTAACTTATCCTTATTAACTTATACTTGTCTTGGCTTATCACAAACCAGAAAGCAAAATGTAAATGTGCAATTATATATCTGTATTAATTCTTGTAAACCACTGGAGATTCAGAGAGGAAAAAAGAGAGGTATCGTTAATGATGAAATGCTTAAAAATATGAAGACATAGTATGACATTGAAATATAATGGATCAAACTGGAATGATGCTGTGAGAGATATAAAGCCCCAATGGGAGGTTTAGGTTGATCGATATCAATGAGGTATTGATGTTCAGAAGAATCCTCGGTGGTATTCAGCATAGGAAGTCAACATGATCTTACTTAATCATCAATATTAGATTTTTTAAATCCACAGATGTCTTCAACAAAATGCTCTCTGAGGTTCTGAGTGGAATATTCACGTTCCATGTATGGTACATGTAGTTGTCTTTCATGTTTACTAACATGTATCCTGCCTTTGGATATCCATACCTCCCATTCCTCTAGCTAAGCAACAAAGAAGGCTACATCAAAATAGTCGACCATTTAAATATATAGACTACCAATACATCAACAAAACTTGATTGAAATAAGAGAATACATGACTAATTTCTAATGATATACATTTCAGACATTTGGACAATACTGTGACACTATAACAACAAACATGTATGATATGAAACCACTTGATTCATAACAATAAACACCTCACAAGGAAATACTGACTTGACATTCATTAAATAGACCGAGCTGGATAAAATGACATTATCTTTCAACTTTGAAGAAAAAATTACAATCAATCACATTATAACACAAGATATTCATTATATTAAGCTGATAAAAAAACACCCATTAAACAAAAGTTCAGTGAACCTATGAAATTGATCTACTTCAGTTTTCTAAGTATTCTTCATGAAGCATATTTGCAATGTTTTGATTTAGCATGCTGTTTCACTCAACAATGATTTCATTGGCTAGTAGCCAGGTAGAACCACTTGTGTGTAACTCTTGATCATAATTAGGGAATCTTACTACTAATTATAGAAGTGTTTATGTATAAAGCCTATTCATTATACAGTCTGCATAAAGGTTGTGAGCTTGTTTCGGAATGACACACCCTGGGAAAAAATAGCATTAAGTCTTGGACTAGCACTTGGCTTTACTAGAATGACTAACGAGAGGATCGAGAAAAAGAAGAGAAAAGACACAGTATACAGGACAAAAGAAAAAAGTGAAAATGTTTTAAGAGGGGTTAGAGGAGAAAGGAAGATGTGTGTACAAAGGTAAGGTATGGAGGTAGAAGGTTGTGCGGAGTAATGAAGGATGAGGAAGCAGGGAAATTAAGTGTCAAAACAGAAGGTCAGAGCATAGATTTGAGTGTGAGAAAAGAACAAAAGAAGAAGGAAGGATGAGGAATACAGGTGGAAAATTCAGAAATAAGTGGAAGTAAAAGAAGAAAGCATGCAGATGAGTGAGCAGCCTGAAGGGTGATAGCTGAGGAGGGATGGCTGGAATTGTGTTTGAGATGGATGAACTTGGGAGATGTGGATGGGTTGCGTAGGGAGGTGAGGGAGAGTTACAAGTGGTGATTGTGTTAAAGATGGAATCGGGGGGGGGGGGGGGGTGAAAAGGAGGTGGGGTTGTGTGAAAAATGGGTTAAGCAAGAGGATGGCAGGTGGTAATGAGTGAAATGTGGTTTGGATTGGGTTAAAAATGAGGGGGGGGGGGAATTAGATGTGGAGGGATGGAATGGATGTGGGATTGTATTAAGAATGGATTAAGAATTTATAAAGAGGTGAGTTGTGACAAGCATGTTAAGGATGGATTAAATGGGGGAGATGGAAGGAAGAGAAGATGAGGTGGTGGATATGTATACAAGATGAAGGGATGTACACAAAATGAGGTGCAAAAGGATGGGTAAAGTGGGGAGGTGGAAGGGAGAAGGGTGGGATTGTGTGAAGAATGGATTAAGTGGGGTGATAGGAGAGAAGGGGTGGGATTGTGTTAAGGATGGATTAAGTGAGGAAATGAAAGGTAGAGGAGGTGGGATCGTGTTAAGAATGGATTAAGTGGGGCGATGGGAGAGAAGGGATGGGATTGTGTTAAGAATGGATTAAGTGGGGAGATAAAAGGGATGAAACGTGACTGGGGGAAGGCTGGCGTAAATAGGGTGATGGAAGGGAGAGAGGAGATTATTGTGCAAAATTTGATAAATAATTAACTTGGGGAGATGGAGGATGACACAGGAGGTGAGATACATCAAGGAGAGTTTCAGGGAGAAACCTGGTGCAAGGATTGTATAAAGATGGATAAAGTAGCGAGTGAAAAGAAGATGAGATTGTAGATGGATGTCAATGATAAAGAGCTGGAATTATGTTAAGAATGTATTATGAAGAGATGGTGAGGTGAAAAGAAGCTGGAATTGTATGCAGGAAATAGGTATGGGAGAGAATATAGGTATGGGAGAGAATATAGGTGTATAGAGAAGAAAAGTGCAGGAAGGCAAAATATGATTTGATTACAAGAAACTTGAAAGGAGTGCTAATATAACCAGTATAGCAAGGGATAGCAAGATGAACACAAAAATGTTTGGCAAGCTGAAAAACTACAAAACAAGTATGTAGGTAGGAAGATAGAAGTGAGAAGAAAGAGGTCAAGAAAGAAATACAGGAAATCTAGTGTAAAGGATATATCACTGAATAAGTGAGAAAAAGGCAACAGATTAGGAAACATTGTACTACATAATTATAACAATGGGATAGGTGATACAAATATAGGATACGCACTGGCCAAGGGTGTGAATGGAGGGTCTACTGAATGATGAAGGAAGAGATTTATTGGCAGGAAGAGACAATGACCTCAATGGATAGAGGAGAGAAAGCGATTTAAGGACAGGAAAGGCAAACAAAAGAGAGAATGCAAGATGAGAGACAGTGAACATACTGGTAAGAAAAACATAAGTAGTCAAATGCTCAGTATAGACAGAAAATTCAGAATGATACAGGTATCAGCAGAGAGAGAGAGAGAGAGGAGAGAGAGAGAGAGAGAGAGAGAGAGAGGGAGATAGAGAGGGAGAGATAGGGAGAGAGAGAGAGAGAGAGATGGGAGATGAGACAAAAAGGAGAAAGATAACATTAAAGTAAGAGAGAAGAGAGATAGAGAAAATAAAACAAGAGAAGGGAAGGGAGAGAAAGTGGGAGAGAGAGATAGACTTGTAATGCTTTGTGGGGTTGTCTGTATCGAGCAACTGCTCACTGATGGTAAAAATATGCAATCATTTCATAATTGCTGTGATAACACTTGTCACATGTGTCCAAATGAGTATTTCCTGGTAGACACAAAACCAGGAAGGATGTGTGTCCTATCTTTGTTGTACAGACATACCTAGCATAACCCTTGACAGAGAACAGGAAACATATACTTAGCTATATCACTAGTAAAGAGAAAGAGAGAGAGAGAGAGAGAGAGAAAGAGAGAAAGAAGAAAAAGAGAGAGAAAGAAAAAGACGGTGATAAGGACAGACAAGAACACAGAGAGAGAAAGATAGAAAGAGAGAGAGAGAGACAAAGAGAGAAAGACAAAGAGAGAGAGAGAGAGAGAGAGAGAGATAGAGAGATACAAAGGGGAGGGAGAACAGGAGAGAGAGGGAAGAGAGAAAGAGAGAGAGAGACAAAGAACTGGAGAGGGGGCGAGGGAAGAATAATTTTATTACCAAGATGTTTCAGTTTTACATTCCCTTTAAGTCTTACACAAAATAATAAATTGTCACTGCCACTGGTGAAAAACAAAATAATATTCTTATATAATTTTAAGAAACAGTTATATTGGCATATTTTCAAATCATACTGGTAACTCTGCAAAAAAATTTATCATTGTTGAAATGCCTGTTTTGAGTTGGTACTTTGAATAATATAAACCGTCTTTTATAATTATTCAAATAAAACATATGATCATAAGGAATTAAAGTGCATCATGAAAGTGAAAGTCACTTCTCAAGCACACACACAAGAACTCATTGCATACACACACACCACACACATTACATATGCGTACACTCAAGGCTTTGAAGTCAGCAGGAAATAATGTCAAGACTTATATACACATGTTCTTGCACATTTTATCATACAAACTTGTCTGCATCATCTTTTATATACAAATATCCTTTAAAATGTACATATTTACATTATGTACAATTTGAGTTGCATGGTACAAATATACAATAAAATGTACAGTTTTTATATATTACAGCATTATTAATTCAAATTATCAAATACTATACAAGTAATATACAAGTTATCTATATGCACTGCACTTCATTGGCGTATTTCACATCAAAATTAAATTGTAAAAATGATTGATACTGCATGATTAATGAGATGATTAACATGAATCCATGATCTCTTTAAAGAAATACCACATATCTATCCAGCTCAGTTAACAAATAGAAAGAGACAGACAGAAAACAATACAAAACACATTTTTACTACACAAATATAAATAAACATAAATACATGTGTTACTAACATGATACCTACCATAACACTAAGTTTCTATGATGGATAACATACACCACAAGAATGCTGGTACCAACACATCCATTTTGACAAATTTGAGCTCATAAAATATAAATTTAGCAACAATTCCATGTGCACAGCCACAAGCAACATACGCAAGGAAGAGAAGCATTTTAGTTTTGAAGACCGATAAAAGTCACAAGGCATCAATGTAGCTTTACTTTGGTATACAGAAACATGGCAAATATTATCACATCAAACCACATTCTTTTATCAAGAAGGAAAAAATAGCTCTGATAAAAATAGATTGCCATTTCAATTACACAGACCGAGTATGAGAGGTCTGAAGAATGACTGTAAGCACTTTCTTCTCGGTTAATACAAATCAAATGTAAATTTAAATCTGTATACTACGGTAAAAGAAACACATGAAAACATCTTTTCAAAGAAAAGTGATATGTAACTACGGCTACAGAAAGATAAATTTCTTGTACTACAAAATAACTCTGCAAGACAAAATATAGAAATATAAATATATATATCAAGCATGAACACAAAGCATTAAAAATATATGATGTTGAAAAATGAGATAAATGAAATAGCTTAATGATATTTAACATCGAATAATGACTGTGCTGATAATGAGTTGTTTAAGGTATACTGACATGCCAATCATATCATCAGTTCAATGGATTGATTGAGAATGGAGTTTGAGGCTTCACACCGGAGGCGGTCCCCTGACATAGCTCATGACCGGTTGCGACGCATCCCACATCAGGTTATCAGTGAGAGACAGGTAACAATCACCATGGTACGTTACCACCATGGAGGGGAGGACCAGAACCAAGATAGTGCACAGGAGGAGGAGGAGCTGGATGGGAAAGGCCACGCTCAGGACTCGTCTTGTGAATGACTTACTTTGCTTCGGAGGTTCGTACTGTTCACAGGCATCCTTAGCATAGATGACCGTCCTCTGGGCATGGTGAAGGGGTTGACCCATGCTTCCAGGATGGTCAGTCATGTCCATACCTTGGTATTGTCTGGGTAAGATGGCTGGCCTCTGATGCACGTCCAGAGCTTCTATTGAGGTGATCTCCTGCAGCAATAAAAGGGAGAACAGGATTTTTGAAAGTAAAATTCATTAGTTGTGATTCATTTTCACATATGTCCCAAGTGCTTGATTCTATATATCATAAAAAATTGATAAATATGATGCATTCAATAGCTTATTGAGCTCCAAATAAAATAGGGGAAAAATGAAACAAGATAATCTTACAGAATGAATTGATTATAGCCATGTACTATCATGTAATATTTGATTCCATAGATTTCAACTATCTTAAATGTAAATTTTAGTTCATCCTTCCTTCTCTTAAAATCTTGTACCATTTTGCATCTTTTTATTTTTCCTTCATATTATGATTACTAGCCTGTATCATTATAGATCATTATTATGATCACTAACCTCAATAATAGGAGTCATATGGCCATCTTCAGTGTGCATATAGTCAGGGGAGACAGTGATTGGTGTGCAGCCTTGGGTCTCAGCATCCCGCACCTTTCCATTCTTATCCATCCACAGCACAATGACGTCCTTCCAGCTCCCCACCTGATCCTCCTCCAGGTCACCAGCCTCCAAGTTCTTCCCGCTCTTCAGCTCTTCCACCAAGGTGTTGGTTGCCTCAATGAGACGGTCAGTGTTATCAGAGGCCTGAGAGTCCAGTTCATATTTAGAGTCCAGCTCCTCAGTGGTCAGTAGGAGATCCTTCTCCAAGTCCATGATCTCTTTCTTCAAGGCAACTTCTTGAGGGCTGTCCTCTGCAGGGGGCGGCACTGACCACAGGTAACATTGCTTGTGCTTCTGGGTGCTCAGATACTGATCCAGGTTACCCTCAGAGCAAGCCTCAGCTATCTGAGAGACGTAACTCATGTAGCCAGGTTTGTTGAGAGACGTGTCATTCTCGTCCACGAGGGTACACGGGCTGTCCACTTCAGTGAGCTTGAGCGTGTCATGAGCAGACTTCTCATCGACATCGTCTGTACTCAGCAGTGAGTTGAAACCAGTATCACAACTACCTGTACAGCTACCCTCAGTCCCGTCATGCTGCACTGATTGTGAATCAGATGTAGAGGATCCAGACTTTCTCTTGTTGCGCTTGTTCTGCTTCGACTTCTTGCCCAGTTGGGTGCTCATGATTATGCTCTCTTCGTCGTCTTCTTCTTCTTTCAGTGCTTTAGATAATGTGTGCTTCACCGCTGCTTGAATACTAGCCAATTCACTGCAGTCTCGTTCACAGTTTGCTTCTCCTGACGGCCACGTGAAATTGAAACTACCAGTACAAGTTTGCATGTAATCCTGCCATAGAGAGTGGCTGAGAGGAAGTGAATCACTTAGCGTTGTAGTGCTGGCTCCCTCAATAACATCCTGTAAGCCCTCTGATTGGCTACAACTATCTACTTCCTGCATAGTATCTGTTTGTTTGCTGATAGAGCTTCTTTTCTCCACCAAGTCTAACTCCTCCTCCTCATCATCATCATAACTTGGTACCATTCTACGGACAATGTCGGAAACAATATCAAAACTATCTGACAGAGAATGAGATGAATTTAGTTCTGCTCTGCCAACTGCATTAGAAAAGTCTGAAAATCTGGATTTTTGGTCAGGATTTCTGTCCTTTTCTTCAGGTGCTATCTGATGAACTAGTTCAGTCACAAAATCCAAAGACTCATACATGTGACTCAAACTAATGCCTGTTATTTCTAACAGATTGTCCTTTTCTTCCTCCTTTTCAGTTGGATCGTTTGACCACAAGGAATGTCTCCTCTGACCTAAACTCTGCATTTGAAATGGAATGACAGGGGTATTGTCCTCTTCTTCACATCTTGAAGAGCCACTGGACTCATCGGTGGATAACAGAGATGGGAAGAGCTTGGAGCCCTTGAAGAATGTCTGAGCATCAGGTGAGGATGAGAGGCTTTTGAGAGAGGAAAAGAGAGAGTTGGTCGATGAAGACTCCTTTGAGATTGGTGGGAAAAAATGGGGATTTTCCTGAGGCCATGTAGAGAGCTGTAGTAGGTGTGAAGAAGAGGCATCTTCTTCAGGATCCTCTTCAGAAAAGAAGATGGAATCATCAGCACAGATTTCTGGCAGGTCATCTTCTGTTTCATTTACCTCCTTTTCTTTTCTTTCCTCTTCTTCTTCCTCCTCTACACAGTTCTGCATGTGTGGGAATTCATGTTCTTCTGAGCTCCCGTTAGAATTGAAAGATTGCATCTCCAAGGAGTCTGGGTATTCTGCGACATCTTCCATGGACCCAATCATCCACCCGGCAAAGTCATCATTGAACTCTTGGGTTTCCTCTGTGTACATGATATCTAGGGGTACAGTGGTGCTATGCACTGCATCATCCATGAAGAAGCAATCATCATCTAGATCCCCATCATACTCGTCTCCAAGTTCCTCATCTGATGCTAAACATTCCAGGGCTTCCTCTGCTTCCTCCGACAGAAAGTCTGAACCTACTGAATCTAAACGACCATGGTGTTCGTGTTCTTCAAGATTTGCCATTGCTTGGGTGTAAGCACTGCACATCTTTTCAAAAGACATCTCGTCTTCTCCCTCAGCTTCTTCACGCCCCTCTTTCCCTTCCTCTTCAATCTTCTGCTCCTCTATTTGTTCCCTCAATGCAGCATGCATCTTCTGCAGATCTTCAGCTTTCAGCATGTGTTCTTCTCTTGGAGACATGGACCAAAACTCCAGGGCTGCTGCTGCCTTGGAAGTCTTCTCGTCCTCCTCCATCTCAGCCTCCACCTCCTGAAGAAGATCCTCCTCCAGCTGAAGATAGGCATCCAGCATCTCATCCGTTAGCTCCATGATGTCTGGTGTCTCACTGAGAGGGAGTGCCAAGTCATCATCAAGCCCGAGATCCTCCTCATCATCCTCGTCCTTCATCGGAAGATGATCATCAAAGGCAAAATCTTCAGCAGAGACTTCCGAGGCATCACTAATGCTGAAGGCATCATTCTCAGAGAAAGCTTCCCTCGCTACCAAGATGTCTTCATACTCAATAGTACGCCCCTGGTTGTGCATCCTGTTGCCATAGCCATCAACCATGTCATCATCTTTAGCCCCAGAGGGTTGGAATCTTGAATGGATCAGATGTATGGAGTTCTCTGACTGAGAGAGGAGAAGAGAAGGTTTAGCCTCCTCTTCATGATCACTCTCTTCCATGATGAAAGGAAGGTCAGGTGTCATGGATCTCTGCTCATCTCCAGAAGATGTACCAGAAAGACACACCTGTAATGAGAATAAATAAAAAAAACCGAGTAACCTACCTATCCATGTAGTAGTAAATAAATACATACTGTTTTAGAAAATCTCACATTCTTAAATGAATTGACGCTCATAAGATTTGATTACATAGAATACTAAGATTATAAAGATGGCCAAGGAACTGAATGACAATTATGACAAAATGATATTAGATACTTTAGATCATAATATTGAAAAATTTCTTTATCAATTTTAAGCTTTTACATTTTTTTATGGTCTCATGCACAACAGAAAACATTGATATTATACCATTTAGTGTCATCATCATCATTAGCAACAACACCATCATCCCCATCCTCATCATCAAAATCTTTTTTGTAATAGATGTCTGCATTTTGTGACCATTATTAGCAACTATATCTATATCTTAGTAAAAAAAAAAAAATTTCTTCAAGTGTTGTCGATAACACCACAATCGTGAAATAATATTTAACAAATACATACAGTAGTTTCAGTACTTGGTATACTTGAACAAAATGCCACAAAGCAAAGAGCTAATAAATGAATATTTCTTCAAATGGACCTTTCCCTAATCTTAATACCTCAAAATATTTATTGCTCAAACTAAAAGACACAACAAGGCTAACCTGAAATAAGGTCTTACATGAAATAAGGGCTTTACGAAATGAAGCTTGACAAACACAATCACAAAAGCTTTTAGGAAATTAATACTTCGACAAGCATGTTTAATTTGCTATACACAAATACACTTTGGGCGACCTTCCACGCAAGCCGCCGTAAGTGGCGCTACAGTTGGGGGGCAGCTGGGGGGCTTCTGGATAGCACCTGAATGGGAAAGTTGAATGAGCGAGAGCTCGTTCGTACTTAGGCCCGCATCTACTGGCGGTGTGGTGAGAGTGCCTCCGTACCGTAAGATCGAACTCACAACTCTGCTCCAGCTAGCTAAAATTCCTTGAATTATTTATATTCTAACTCTAAATCATTCCGTCTCTCACTCTCTTCAATTCAATAAAATCATCTGCATGTTAACATACACGATAATGAATATGTGGGGCACCGTTACAACGACGTCTCCCAAACTTCGATTGCCGAAAACGCACGCAAAACTCGCCAATGACGGACATCATCTACCCATTCATCCATCGTAAATGAAATAAATTTAGACAAAATGAAGTTGAAATGTCCGAAAGCGGCAAGGAATAATAAGTGGTTTGTCTGTGAGAAAGCAATGATCGTTGCATGCATGCAAGATGAAAGCGCAAGCTGATAGAAGCCCCCAGCGTGTAATGATAAACGTAGAGGGCTCACATCCATGAAAATTCGCCCGTATCGGTGTATTGAGTCTCATTTTGAAATGGGCAATTATTAAAATGACATAATCATATATTGCAATTATGATTTGTATCCAGGAAATCCAACAGTATTTGAAATTGCCATTGACTTGATTTCTTGAATGCTTTTATTGTGCTCATAATGTAAAGATTTATCTGACTATCCCATAGTGTATCCTTGATCTGGTCTAGTTGGTAGTGTACATATATTTCAAGATGTCTATACTCTGTACATTAAATGATCACAACAAATTGTCTAATTATCTAATCATTTACATCGTAAACGGATTACAGACATGCTAGTTTGTTTTCTACTTGATGTAACCTGTCAAATTGGAAATTATCTTTTCAAGGGGTTATGGTCTATTGACGAATGGCAAAGCATTTACATTTCTGATTACCAGCCTGAGTTTTCAGGAATAAAAAAGATAAAAGCTTTGAAACAGACACACAGTTGATGCTTCATAAAAGTAAATTCACGATAAATTGAACTGATTGCAGTTCATCAAATAAGTGACCTGTGACTGGTTCTGCAGTACGTATTGACTTTAATCAGGCACATTTAAAAATAGCAACAGATAAAACAATATTGCAACATCATTAACTGCTTAAATAGAAATACACCCACACCACCATTTCTACTAAATGAAATTATTGAATGTGACATTGCATGGGCAGTGAAGGGAATAAAGAAGGACCCCCCCCCCTCCCCCCTCAACCATTCAAACATTAACAAGACAAACAGATTCTTTCAAGCTTGAATCCTCTTCTTGCATGATAAACGCTGGTATATTAAATTAGCACATAATGCTAAGTACAATGCTTGGCAAGTAAAGCAAACCTAGCATGAAGTTTGGGTACTTGCTGCATACTTTATTTTAGATGTAATTGTCAGTTAATTGAGGGGAAAGAATAAAAATAAAAATAATTGCGCCTGTGTGAAATCATAGTAGTTACCCTTACAAGGTTGGAATAAATCACCCATACAGCATGAACAATAAAAAAGTAAAATATGAAAGAAGGTTATAAACTTTGGGTGCTGGATGATCTTGAACTACTGCTTGAACTACCAATAACCAAGGTTTGGGAAAAAAACCATATTAAAACTCTGTTTTGTGTAACAAACAGTCTACAGACAGATATTTGTAAGCTGTAATATTGTTTTAAAAACAGGTATAAAAGAAAGTTTGCTTTGATTCATTTTGGGTAACATATAATTAATCTGTTGCTTTAATTAGGAAAGTCCATTTGTGTTTGTGGTTTCGTTTGTGGTTTAACATGCTCTAACTGCTTGTTCTATTTAAAGAATTTAATCAATGTATCAAGGACATAAAGTCTTTTCAAGAAATGCTATTGTTCCCAGGGTAGCAATGTTGTATCTCTATCTATTGATGCGACATGAACAGGTGAACTACTGTAACCTGCAATGATGGATTCACTTTGTCATTCCTTCAAACACTTAAAAACATAACTTTCAAAAAGTCTAGGGTGTAAATAAGGCATGGATGTACACAATGTGACTGTCCCTATCATGATCTTCATCAATATTATCCTCCTCCTCTTCCTCATCATAATCATCATCATCATTACAACAATCAAAATCATCGTAATCATCATCATCATTACAACAATCAAATTCATCGTAATCATCATCATCATTATCACTATCTATTCAATGCCAATTTGACACTGCCTCCATCATCATCCATATTCATTTGTTTATTGTTTGTTTCCTGATCTGTCTATATCAATATTCATGTGTGCTTTCAATAGGCCTGTCTTCATCAGCTCGAGTTTGCCAAATAACCCGCTATTTCAACTATCCCGATCAGCCCGCAGTTGCAGTTAGCGGGATATTCTTTCAAGAAAATATCCCAAGAAAACTTGGTCTGGTTTCCCGCAATTTAGGAAATAGCGGGATATTTGGGCCCGTCAGAGCAAGTTTGTGATGAGGGTATCGGTCTGTTGAAGACGCAATTTTGACCTTCGGGATAATATCCAGAGTCTGAAATAGTGGGTTATTTGGCAAACTGGAGTTGATGAAAATAGTCCTAATCTGCACAGACAGACTACCATACAGGCCCATTACTTGTTTTCTCTCATTTGTTGTTGTTATTTTGTTGTTTGTGGGTATTTCTAAACAGGTTTAATTCCAATCCAAACTCACCTTGGTTGTCTCCACTGCTTCCTTGACATGAACCAGCATCTCTTCAGAGTGAGTCTTGACATTCTGCCACCGTCTCTCTACATTGATGGCTCCCAGCTGAAGAGATTCTCTCTCTCGTTTATGAGTGCTGAGATACCAGTCATCATCCTGGAGGAGACTGCACAGCTTCAGAACCACATCAATGCTCTGACTGTTATGATCTATCTCATCCTTCAGACCCTGTTTGAATAGAAAATGGAGCGATTATTAATAATAATAATAATAATAATAATAATACTCAGCTTTCATATAGCGTGAATTACAATAAGTCTCTAGTAAAGCACTTCCACATTTGAGATTATTACCTCGCCTTTAGCTGTGCTGCCATTACGGCGCTCTAGCATGTCAAAGAATTAATTCCTGCCAGATACCCATTTACATCACCTGGATTGAGTGTGGCAAATGTAGATCAATGCCTTGCCAAAAGAGCATCTTCTGTATCACCTCCTTTATATGGGTCAAAGTTACATTACCTATACCCAAGCAGCAAAAATAGCAGTAAGTAGTGAATGAAATTCATATATATCACAATCACATAATGTTCTATGAATGTGATTGTATTTTGCTGAATGATAAATTGATAAATAGAAAAAGCAAGATATTGCAAGTGAAACTCGATACAAAGTCAAAATGATTACTAATGTAATTTATTATGTGTTATTGAACGATTGCCAACCAGAAATACTTCACGATCTTTCATAATAATAAATATTACAATCATTATAAAATGTAAAACGCCAGGATAATTTGATTTCCCACGCTACCCATGCTACCGAAATTTAGAGCATTCTCTTGATAATGATAATCATAGAAATCAAAGAGCCTAGAACATAAAGACATCATAACCATTCAGTAATGGCTCATTTATCATGAAATAAGGTATGACTGATTGACTGACTAAGTGAAAGAAAGAAATGCAATTACTTCTGCACACATAAAGAAGAGCTTACAAAATATGTTTGATGAACTGGGGAAAACAAGACATGTGCAAACATTAACAAATGTGATGAAAAGTTGCTAAATTTAATTTAACTTGAATAAAACTGTATCATCGTATAGAATGACTGCAAAGAAGACACTATTTAATCAAATTGAGGAACCGTGTATCTTGAATACGAGACATTTCCTTCTCAATATGTTTTTGTTATCATATACTGTGCAAACATGTAATTTCCTGCTGTTGGCAATATCATATTCACATTTCTTCTCACTTTATTTACAATCTTGCAGGTTCTTCTTTATTTGTCATGCAATCCAACCTGGCCTCTAAACCCTCCCACAGAAATTTCAATTTAACTGTATTTAATCATGCTAGGGCTGGCAGATTGATACCATTCTGCCTATAGTGTTTATATTATAATCACCGTTATCAGTCTACTAACACCAGCTCTATAACTACATGTAATGCTCATGAACCAACTAACAAAAAAACTAACTCACTGATTGACTAAATATTTAACTATTTAACTGACTAAAAAACTAAATTACTAACTAACATACATCAACATAACTCTCATTATAACACACTGGAACTAACCTGAATAGATCTGAGTCTAGTTTCCAGCTGGTTGAGATCTGTAGTATCACTGTCTGTCTCAAACAATCTACCTTCAATCTGAGTTAACCAAGCTTTGAGTTGACCAATCACATCCTCAACTTCCAAGGCCATGCTCATGGCTTGCTCTGCACTGCCGAACGTACATGTAGCTGAACTCCTGATGAGGAAGAAGAAAGTATTGAAGACAATAAGGCTTTACACTGCAGTATACACTTGCTTTTACTCATCACTCCTTGGCCTTCATATATCAATGATTACAAAAGAGGCTTGAGCTGTGAAACCACATACGTTTAATTACTTTCATTTCGTACAAAGCCTGGCTGAATTCACACAAGTAAATGATGAGTCTCAGTTATACACAATAGATTCAGTATAAACAATGACTTTCTCCTATCAGTGACATTGTTGAGTAAAAGGCTATTCAGCTGGCTAGCTCATTTCCTACTCAACCAACCATTGTTTTCTTTCTCATTTTTTCTTCAAGTGGATATTATCTTAGTTGATTCTCAACTTCTTTGTGTACCATTACACTTTAAAGGGGTCATTCCCAATGTCAATATCATTCATAAAGACCTCTCCATCTTTTCTGATAAGTAAGGTTAATTATACATCCTACATTCAAATTAAGCTACGGTCACAAAGGTTCGTACAAACGATGCATTCGTACAAATCTCTGTTTTTCCATGTTTTCCCAATTTCCATGGTCTAAAAATCATTCGTACGGCGTTCGTAGCAGTTCGTAATGGCATTTGTGACCGATGCTTTACCCCCACACACACATGCTTTAAAAGAGCTCCTAAAGGAAACTTACCTTGAACTATTAGCCTTGCGTGCCAGGAGTGGGCTCGGTGCAATGTGTTGCTGCAATGCATGCCATTGCTGGTTGAGAGACTCTAGCTTGATGCTTACATCATCAGTAAGCCTGGGTTTAGAGGCCATGAGCTGGATCCCTTTCCTCTGTAGCTTACTCCTGCTAACCTCCCTCAGCTGCAGCTCCTGCTCATAGCCCTGCAGGAGAAACCAGAACAATAATAATTACATCTATAAATTATGGCATAACATATTATAGATATATTGAATGCTATGAGAGGTATAGCTGTTTCTATAGGCTCAAGGGGACGTTACATCCTGCTAAAAAAAAAAGACTCCAATTTCTACCAAACAGATGGCAAGATTTATTCAACATACTATTCTATGCGTCATCTCTGGCTGGAATCCATGGAAAATGCATGTTCAACGTCAGCCTGCACGTGTTGTTACTAATAACTATGGGTGGGGTACCAGTGGAACTGAACTTCTCAATCAACTTGAATGGGACTCCAAAAAAGACCGCAGAGAAGCTCATCGTCTTACCTGCTTCTATAAAATGATCAATGGTCTACATGACATCGACATGACATCCATAACCGATCCACAACTTGACCAACAAAGACATGGACACTCAAACCAGTTTTGTATTTTAAGTGCCAATTTGGAACGTTTTTACAGCACACTCATATTTTCCAAGGACCACCATAAAAATGGAACAGCCTTAAACAGTCTACCACCGGCCAAACCAGTCCTCACTCATTTAAATCTGCTGTCCTTTAGAACTTTCCACTTCTACTTAATCGTCCCCCCTCCACCACCTCCGGTTAAAACTTCATTTCAGAGTATTTAGGCGGATGATGAACCAAGAACAAACTGTGAACAATGTCATACCAAAATCCAAGCATATACAGTTGGTTACAATATATACATGTACATGATTTAGGTTGGAGCAAGAAGATTAGAGAATGGACATCTTTAAATATACATGCCAAGATTAGGTACTTGACCAAAAACAGGGAAAAAACTGTTACAACACATTCTCACAACAGGAATGATAACAGACTGAATCATATTTATATTTTATTTTCCCCCCAAATAGTACTCAAGAACCTGAGTATGTATCATATGATCATGTAATTCTACACCACTAAACAGAAAAAATAGAAATATAATGATTCCCAGTCCCCCCGCCCCCTCCCTCCTACTACCAGATGCAAAAAGAAGAAAATCAGCAATCAATATTTTACAAAAATACAAATAAGTAGAAACATCTGCTATAGGTACCAAGTCTGTGAGCAAAATCCATGTTTACACAATGCTGACAGCAGACCTCAGTGTCACATCCAGAAAAGAGAGGTTCATGTTAGTGTAAAGTAGATTAAAAGTTCATATCAGGACAAAATCGTACTGCTCAGTGACAGGCGAGATTCCTATCTCTAAACGCTGCGCTATCAACATGCACTTGGTCTAGACAAACGGAAATTCTTTGCTCAACTATATCCTGTATCCATTACTGCAGCAAAGACTGAATGAAAAGGCTGTATATATTACCAAATACTGAGAATACACTATACATTGCACCAGTTATGAAAGACAGGTATTCTTAGCCTACCATGAAATATAATCCAATTGCTCCATCTACCAGTAAAAACAATGCCTCAATATTGCTGGAGTTTTATTACACACATAGTAGGGGAAGCAAGATATTAATATGTTGGCTTATATAAAAACCACATGCTTACGTTTAACAATAATAAGTAAGTATATTCTAAACCTCAACAGACTTCAAGATCTCTCTATTTCAAAGTGTTTGCAACATTCTGCAAATCAGACTGCATTGGAATTGATGGGGAGGGACACCTCATGCAGCAAGAATTCATGATTCTTGATTGTGTGTTTAATGAGCATATAAATAGAAAGTTATTATTCCAATTTAAAAAAGTAGATAATCACTGACATGTAGCAGTAAAATCAGACCTTGGTAAAATTTCCTAGCTCACTATAGCTGCTTCTAAGGAAGGACAATAAATATCTCAATCTGAAACTCCTACCTTAGGAAAGATTGTTAAAGGGACCATCAGTACTTCCCATGGACTTCAAATATCTGATTCTTAATTTCTCTAATGCGCCAATATTTTGAAACCATATCTACTATCTCACCTCACAACTGGCCATCACATTTTGTCATCACGTATTAAACAATGCATTCTCCTCTTAAACAAATATCCTCGTATTAATCCAAAGAGCACAGTATCCTTTAAGACTTGAGAATGCATGATAAATAATCCATGACCATGCTCTTGTCCATATACTATCCTGCTGGAGTATAAACACTCATTAAACATGGACAGTACATGTACACATATACGTGGCATGATTTGTTTCTGCCAGCTAGCTATACATCCATGTACATCCCATACCTTCAGGCAAAAAGCAAATTAAAGGGCAGGGAGTGCTTAAACATGTGGAGGGTTGATGCTAGAAAGGTTAACTGCTTAACCATGCTGAGATGATGGTAGGTAAATCAAGGGGCAGGGGAAGTGAATTGGCTTGGTCATATGGGGAGGTGGGGATTTGACCTCCTTTCTCTCAATCTATGGATATACAGCCTTATGCACGGCCATCACACCTCTATAAAATATGTTAATTAAATACATTTTATCCTTAAACAGTTATAGAGGACCCATCCGGCACAATCTACCCTCCCCCACTCCACTCAATTTCCCCCTTAGCCCAACATTCACAAACAGCAAAAGGGTAATGGTTGCAACTAAAGAAAGATATTAATGAGTTAATAAAAAGATTGCCGACATGCATGACTGTTTGTAATATCTTATAGCCATAGCTTCATGTGAAATGTCATCATTCATAAAGATTTGAAAGAGAGGGCCAAGATCTGCTTCACATTAAATGTCATATAAAGGGGGGCTCAGAATAATTTACTTAGGCCCTTTATCAAGAACATTATCCAACCCCTCCCTTGACATGACACAAACATCAGAGACTGACATTATCCTGCCTTTCTATCAAACTAATATAAACTAATATAATTGAGGATGATTCCCCCTTCCCCCTCCCCCACTCTGAAACCTAATAATGATTTATTTAACTGCCAGCAGGGTATAAGTACATTTGTGGTTTCATAACCAACTGAACAAGATTGCATGCTACATACTTGGTATCTATTTCAATCCCCCTAATGAGCTGTCCAGCAACATGAAAGGGAATTTCATTCTTGTTCTCAAATTTCAGACTTGCTTATCCATAGCAGGGTATGCAATGGAAGAAGTCAATGATGGAATTTCTTTTAAATTCATGACTGTAAAACATGACCACATATTGGAATATTTATATATTTATATATTATATATATTGAAATCAATAAATTGGACTAATGAAAAAAAAAAAGAAAAAAAATTAATTTCATTTAAAACCTGACAGAATAAATGTTTTTGATCCATTTACATGTATCTTTTGCATGAAACTGTGCCCTACAAATTGAATTGTATGAAACAAACAAAAATGAAAATGAAAAACGGTAACTATTTCTCGGCCATTCTCATTAAATGTAGCCAATGCATAGTCTGAAGAGGTAGACTAGAATCCAATGTGGATTTCTATTTCCCAAGTTCGCTGGCATTGAACATTGGAATTTGAACTGTGGGAAGAGCTATCAGTTCAATGTACACGGTGACCTCATGTTTATGGAATGCATATTCAGTAAACATGTAAGCTCAATATTGCATACAGGGAAGGGGAGAGCTAGCTGATAAGGGATGGAGATGAGATTTCCGTCGTATATATCAGCACCTTATCATCTATCAAGGTGTAGCGCAATTGCGTTGATTGCACTTGGCCTCTGTAATTATGATAAATTCTTTTCCGGCAATTTAAGGATACCATTTGCCATAAACAAACAGAACTATAGACATACCCTCATGAGTCATCATAAAACAACTAGAGGAAGAACGAAAGAAAAACATTTTTTTTAAATTCCCTTTTCTATACCCCTGAACATTTGTATTTATGTAACCAATGAGATGGAAATTCAAATTGAGTGTTTCCGCATTCAACGCCAACCACATACAATTAGTGCTACAGCGGTTTATTTAATAAAAGTGAGAGTCAAATAAAATAACGAAGATAAAAAGTCTACACTATAACATTTTCAAATGAAAACGCAAGTGAGTTTTAAGTTATCATAAAAATGCTCCTGTACACAAGACTTAACAAAATCTGCATCTCCTGTATCAAACCTTGTACAACAAAAAACAAAAAAAGATTCTACATTGTATGATAGAATACTCTGATCAACTACATTTAACTGAAACTCTGTAGAGGCTACATACTATATAGTGAAAATATACATTAATGATTCTAAATTTGGGTTAGATTTGGTGGATTCTATCTATACCTTGCACATGTGCTGCTTGTGATGCTCAGACACACGCATATCAGCGCTGTCTGAAACGGCCAGGTGCATGTCATTCAACCAATCGGAGAGCTCATTGTAGAGTACTTCAAACTCAGGGGTTGAACTCAGTGATGAGTTGTTGCTGGTACATGATGGGGAAAACCTGTGCAGAAGATGAAAGAAATGAGACAATGAAATCTGAAACTTGTCAAAATCCCTTGACATTATATGACATAAAGGAACAGGCTGGAACCACTCCCAGTATTGCAGAAAGAACTTTTTTTTTTAATCATTAATTTTCGCTCTATACACAAAGCTATATTTAACATGCATCCCCTGAAAGATAAAGTTGAGTTCTGGTTATTGTTGAAGGAACGTTGTGGAATTGATCAGAAAAGGTTGATAATCTTGCATATGAGTATTGGTGTGTACTGCAAGGTTCTGGAATCCTCAAAATTATAAGAAATTTGGCTCAGTCTTGGTAAAGTTACAAGCACTGTACACAGCAAGGTGTATATGGGACTACACGAACATGTGGCATAAAAACCCGTCATGATTTTTACGATGTTACATGCCATATTTAGAATATTAAGGCATTTGTAGAGCCATGCTTTTTAGGGAACAATTGTTATCCGATGTTCTTCCACACTTGCATAAAACAATATTCACATATTATTTTTCACCTCTTCCCAGAACCCAACCTTCTCTTTAATAAGACCATGTTGATTTCTTCTTGAATGTCTCAATTGTTCGGCTTTTATCATTTCAAAATTTTTTTTTTTTTTACAATTTTCACTTTTATTCTACTTCTGCCACAAACCTGTTAAAACATGTTCTGTATATATATGCACACACTATTCCACTCTGTAATTATTGCATCAGACACTTCTTCATTGTATGAAATTTTTTGATATCTCAATCAATAAACCCTTATCGTGCTCAAACTTCAAATTATTTTATACAAACATAATGTCTGCCATATTATACAAACACGTCTACCATTAAAGCTACAATGATGCATAATCAGCAAATGAAGATAGGTAACAGAATAAACAAGGAGGTAAAACAAATTAAACTTCATTTTATTTCATTCAAAGCTAACAAAAGAAGATCTATTCACTTTACATTTTTTATTGTCTTTTTTCGCAATGTGTGAAAATAGATTTAAGCAAAATTACAAGCATTAATTCATTAGTGAAGAATGCGAGAAGAACAAGAAAATGACAGGGTAACTGAATGTAAGTCATAATGAAAATTAATAAAACAACATACCAAAAAATAGAAAAAAACAAAATAGAATTGGAGAATAAATCAAATTGCATAGCTTTCAACAGAGCTGCTAACTTAATTTGGCCATGAGTTTAGAAATTACTCTTTAAGATAAACGCATTTTCATGTTATATTAATATCAGTTATCACCAATTTTTTTAAATCATCCTATGTGTCCTTGAAATTTGATATATTTAGCTTACTCTTGGCTCTAATTAGTACTTTGGCCAAGAGCAAAGAAACCAAGTTGAATAATTAAATTAAGATTGATTTGTAATATTTGAAGGTATGCATTTCTGCTTGATCAAATTGGAGTAGCCGTTCTCATTTGATGGATATGTTAATGAAATTATGACAGTGCACAAATTTCAAAGTTTCTGATATCATCTTGGGTAATCAATTTTGAAGTTATATCTGTCAGCTGATATTGATCATGATCTAATTCAATTTGCAGGTCAATACTTTCAGGACAATTCCCAGGTTGAAAGAGGCTTTTAAGTAGCTACTTTTGAGGTTTGTTTGTGAGGCTAAATCATTGAAAAGTTAGAATTAGACTGGAAGGTGCCTGGAATATGGAGGTAAGCTTTTAAAGTTACAATGAATTTTAAAACGTATAACATTTTACAGGCTATTCCTTATCTTTCTCTCCATCTCACCTTTTCTACACTGTATATGTTATTTGATGGATTGGGTTGTCATGTGTGTGTAGAAATGTACAGATTTGTAAATATATATTTGAATATATATCTGCTCTCTCTTTCTCTGTCTCTTTCTATCCCCCTCTCTCTCCCTCTCTCATTCTCTCTCTCTCTCTCTCTCCCCTCCCTCACTTCTCTTGCCATTTCCCCTGCTCTCATGTTCTCTTCCTTTCTCCATCTCTCTTCCTTGCTCACTCATCATTCTTCTCCACCTCCCCCCCCCCTCTCTCTCTCTCTCTCCCTCTCTCCCTTTCTCTCTCTTCTTTCTATCCATCTTCTTTATTATCCTAATTATTTCTATACTTTATTGCAAACACAATATGTTCCCAGAGCATCATCATTATTATCATAATACCAACCATATAAGACTATAAAAACAAGGAAGAAAAAAAAAAATCCTTAGGCCTGTCCTCATCAGCTCGAGTTTGCCAAATAACCCGCTATTTTCAGACTCTGGATATTATCCCGAAGCTCAAAATTGCGTCTTCACCAGACCGATACGCTCATCACAAACTAGCTCGGACGGGCGTAAAATTAGCCCGCTATTTCCTAAATAGCGGGATAGTTCTGAAACAAGACCAAGATTTCTCAGGATATTTTCTTGACCAAATATCCCGCTAATTGAAACTGCAGGCTTATGAAGACACAAATTAACTGGTTGATTTGCGATCGAGATAGTTAAAATAGCGGGTTATTTGGCAAACTCAAGCTGATGAGGACAGGCCCATGTTCACACACTACCCTCGCGCTACCAGGTCCCTTTTCCCCTTCAGGGTACAATGCAGCAAACCACTGTAAATGGATTTTTAATACCTTCATATGTAAATCACCCTCTTCATGCTTATATCGCCAAAACTCAAAGTCTAGGCTTTTAAATTTGATACACCTCTCCAACCCCAGGGGCTTGCTTTGAAAAATCTCGGAAGGTGAAAGTTAGCCAGAGTGAAAATGTATATTGCCTCTATTGTCAAAAGCTGTATTAGTCCTGGGCATGAGTTCTTTATGAAGCCCTGAAGGAAAGATCAGGTTTACCTGCGCCTAACAGTCACACTTTGTGAAATACCCTGGGATATTTACATTATTGTTAGTTTATTGTGACTCTAACTTATTTACCTATTTGGCGAAATGGCCCAATATGAATCCCTCCTGCTGTAATAACAGCAAAACTGAGGGGTGTCTTGATCATTTGGAACGGCACAGATTTTGTAAATAAAAGAAAAATGGCTTATAAGTAGTAAGAAACAATATATTTAAATAAATATTAACAAAGTCCAGCATTATTCACATGAATTCAGGCCGATTCCTTATTGATGAATTCAGCGTAAATTAGGAAAAGTAAAGTCTCAAGCAGAATACACATTTCTCTTTCTTTTATTATTTTCAACAGCATAAGTAGACCATACTACATTTACTCAGAATACTCCAGGGGGTGTTTCACATAGAAGTTGAACTTATCTGTAAGTTAGACTTAACAATTATGGAAAGCTGTTAGCATCTTTGAAAATATTTTGTATTAGGCTTGAGTCGGTACGGTCGATCACACCGGGACCCGACCGTTGCCGTCGGGTCCCGGTTTCGTTTTTTGAGAACCGACGCTCCGAAAAAAAATAATGAAATATGTAAGAAATTGTAGTTTTGCACACCACTAAAATCAATCCACCTTAAAACTTTAGTATTTAATTGTTACCAATCATTTTCAAGCTCATCCTGAATCAATCCGAACTTCTGATATAAATATGGGTTGCAAAGGAGTTCGCCCCATGGCATGGGGTTGTTATTGCCAGCTGCTAGCTAGCTACTGTACTGGCCGGGTCTCTCGGCAGGATTAATAAATCAGGTTGAAAGAAAAATTGATGTTTGAATAATAAAACGGCTTTCTAAAAAGTACTTCTTTACAACATACCAATCAAATAATTTTTAAACGACAAAATAGATATTTTTTCTTTGATTTTGAACACCGCATGCTTCTTTTAAAAGCTGAAAATTACTTGGTAATCACAAGAAGTTTCGATATGGATAGCTGTTGCAAGGCAAGTTCAGACTAGTCTCGGAAAAATGCGCAGTGCTCCTCGTCATTAGCTGTAATGCGTGCCAGAACGAACCCGAACAGAGACGTGATCGTAACGAGAAAAAAATCACTACGAGAGCACAATTGGAAAGACAACTACTCAAAATTATCGTAAGAAGATACAAAACTTGGAGGAAGAATACAATAGTTGTCCAAGAAAAGCCACAGAAATAGTGATATTTAAGGAGTTACTATAGGTACAATCATTATCGGAATGGGCCTGCTGATATGTCCGAATTACATGTGTTTGAACACGAGGCTAGAATGAAACCAAATACCGCCCTCTACGGTAAAAAACAGTATAACATAGGATTCGAGTATTTGCAGCAGGCCTTGCGATAAAAATGTACCCAGTTACTCCTCGATTATCACAATTTCTGTGGCATTTCTTGGGCAATTATTGAATTCTTTGTCCAAGTTATGTATCTGATTATGGTAATTTTGAGCAGTAGTTGTTTTTTCCAATTGTGCTCGTAGTTTTTAATGATTTTTTTTCTCGTTACGATCACGTCTTTGTTCGGGTTCGTTCTGGCAGGCATTACAGCTAACGAGGAGCACTGCGCATTTTTCCGAGACTAGTCTGAACTTGCTTTGCAACAGCTATCCGTATCGAAACTTCTTGTGATTACCAAGTAATTTTCAGCTTTTAAAAAAAAGCATGCAATGTTTAAAATAAGAGATAAATATTTATTTTGTCTTTAAAAATTATATGATCGGTATATTGTAAAGAAGAATTTTTTAGAAAGCCGTTTTATTATTCTAACATTCATATTTTTGACCAGATTTATTCGACCTGCATAAATCAAACTGGCGGCTCGAATGTTGTCTTTCGATTTTTGCCTCAGTTTTTTTTACTTTTAGAGGCACGATAATGGCACTAAACATCGCCAATCATGGATGAAAATAATGTCAAATGGAAAAATATACCGATCTGAGCCGAGGTATGCATGTGTTGATTTATTTGATTGACAAAAAAAGGTCACTTTTAAGGGACATACTGATGATAATAATCATGATTTGCGCTTTTTATAGAGGCAAGTGACAAATCTTGCGAGCTGACTTCGGGACACCGGGTCCCGATCGGTGCGAGGCCGTCGGGACCCGGTTTATGAAAATCCCGACATGACTCAGGCCTATTTTGTATAAGATATTTTTAAGGCATAAAATGTTGATTCAATCATTCATATTTTCTATTATCATGAAGATTTCATGTTCTTGATGTGGAATTTATGAAAAGTCTCAATACTTAAATTTCTGCTTTTGAATATATATCATTTTGAGGCTACAAAATGGCTCTCCATAATTATTAAGTCCAACTTAGGATCTTTGTGAAACAACCCTCGGGTATTATGCAAAAAAAAGAAAAGAAGCAAATTAGATTCTTTAGATAATAAAAGAAAAGATACAGCCCTATTCCCTCCTTATCTCCTGATTTGGACGTACCTGCTGCTTTGTGGTGCTGATTGTTTGGTGGTATCTGAGTTGCTTGTGTTTGAGTGTGAGAAGGAAACATTGACTGGTGAGCTTCTGCCTTGATTCCGTCTCAGTTTAATCCTCATGAAATCAATAGCATCTCTGGTCTCCTCTACAAGGAGCTCATTACAACTCTGTTAACAGAAACATGAGAGGATAAACTTCATGATAGCAATGTGACACAGAATTCAATGAACAATGCTACCAATTGCATCAAATCTAAACCTCTTATGTGTATTGTGAGCACTATGACTCACCAACATGAATGTCCTTGTTCTTAGAATGGCATACATGTATCAGAAGGTAAACCCTACATTTAAATTTACATTTAAAAAAGAAAGGAAAAGAATCATGCATCATATGGCTTTCAGCAATGATTCAGGGAATACTTGATATCACTTTAAGAGGTTCAAAGCCTTTAATATCTGGAAGTCAATGGATCTAGCTGTCCCGGAAGCATGTGATTACTACTGTGCTAGCGCTACTGCTTCTACATGATTCCATTACAAGGTTAAAGTGTGAAAGTAACTTACCGGTACAATTAAACACACACATAACAAATTATATACATTGGTTAGTAATAATAATGCTTATGAATTGTGTTAGTGCTCATGTATTAGAAGTAAACTGATCAGTACCATGAGATAGAAACAGCATGATGCCAAGATGAATCTAAAGCAATAAAAGTATAAATATGGATCACAATACATGATCCAGATATCTGATTTTCGATGTTATTAATACCAATTCTACCATGCAATGGACATATCGAGATGGAGCGATGAAGAAGCGGGAGAAAATAACAGATATCAAGGCCAGGCCAATTGATCTGATTGGTCAAAGGCAATGCCGCTTCCTGGCTTTCTTTAATTGCTGACCGTCATCATAATTCATCCAGATGCATGTTCTGTTAATAGCATCCTCCCACACACTAACTATCCCATCCAATCCTGCTTGTTTATACTGGGAACAAGCATTGTGATAAAATTATAAAATGTCACCATAATACTGCAAATGTCAAAAAGGTAATGGCAAAATTTTTCAAAATGTCAAGGTTTGAAAGTGATACTGTGTGTGTAAGCAGATGTATGTACATGTAGGTGAACATATCCAATAATTTGCAGATGCAGATAAAAGATGGGCATTATCTTAAAACAATAATTTATTTGTTATCAACATGATCTTCATAAAAAAAGTCTTCAAAATTGACTTTTAAAAGAGACTAGAGAAAAAGCCCTTCAAGAATGTAATTGACAATCAATGTTGCCAATTTCAAGATTAATGGTTATCCCAGCTGTTTCTTAATTTCAGGGTGAGTGCTCATACTCGCTGCATGCCAGAGTGAAGAATATCCTATATTGCAGAGTATGAAAATTAGCTGTCTATGTAAATCATTGCAGAACTTCAACTGCAAAAGTTCATCACATCACTGATGAAAGTATAATGGATGTCCTTCCACACGAGATTCCAATCAAATAGCGATGAAAAGTAGAATATCTTGTTAATATTTACAAGGGTTTTCTTCAGGTAAATTTTTATAATCTCACATTAAAAAAAAAAGTGCAAATAAACGCCTTTTATTCCACCTAAGAATATAGTGCTCTTCTTCTTCTTCTCTTCTTTGCTAAAATAACTGACCACCATCAGGTTATTCTCTTACTGATACCCAAAGACATGTATATTCCTTTGCTTTCCTCGCTAACCTATCCTGTTACTCCATCCAACCTCTACCCTTACCCACATACCCATAGCTCAACCTCACATGATCGTTCTTGAGCTTTAACATACATCCTAACTGTGCCAACATGATTATGAGATTTGTTGATTTGACGATGTGGGGGTGTAGAAGAGTTTCTCTGGTTATCTCTTCAAGCCACACAGCTAACCTAAACATACAGACAGAATATAGCTTAGAGGATCTACTGAGCTTGAGGGATAAGATTTGAAAGCCACAAGTGAGAAGGAATTCCTTGAGCACTATACAGTTGCTTTCCTCTTTGGTGACAGAGTAGGAGAGAAGATTATCTTTCAAAACTCTTTCCAAACCTGAGTCATTAAATAAAGGTTCATCCCAAATCTATCCAGAAATAATTGCTTGGTACAAGGAATCAGAAATAAGAAGATAAGAAGAAAAGAAAAGAAGAAAAGAAGAAAAGAAGAAAAGAAGAAAATCCTTGCTTGGCCATTGATTTCTAAAATCTTCCCAATTAAATCTTGAAAATGGAGCAATTACTTGTTATGGATTTCAGACAGCAGCTTTTCCATTACATCATTATTAGTGGGACTACACAACCAATCAAGACAAGTGCAGTGGGTGGACTTACTGAACAGACTAACTCAGATTATTTAGTTAGGAATATAAGAATTTCAGTTCACAACAAAGTATCAAATGTTGAATATGCAGAGATAATCACAGCATATATTTTCACATGGCCTACGGCAATCAAGAAGAAATGATTCCATGAAATTGCAAGACTTTTTCTTGTTTCCAATCCTTAAAGTCTTTAAGTTTTTAAGACCAAGGCAGTACAAGAGGAAATGATGCTTATCAAATTGCATTACTCTATACTATAATCAATACCTTTGATTTATCCCTCAAGGTTAGATAGAAAACAATCAATACATCACTTCATCCAGATTGCTTTCTAGGAATACCAGGTCCTGGTGTTTACAAATGAATTCATCATTTTAACGAGTGATCAGAAAAATGTAATAAAGTAAAAGAATGGGAGTGTTAGAATTTTATGATACAATCTTTCAGCTTTTGTAACCCAACCTCCAAAAGAATGAAACCCTTTGGGCAAAATGGAAAAATACAAAGGTCAGACAGATTTGGTATAAAATAAATGACAGATTACAAGTGATGAATGATGAAGGTTAGTGGGGGAAACAAAAAAGGAACAATAGTAAGCACTGTATAATTATGGAGAAATGAATACGTACCCCTTTGAGACCTGTATTGATGGTAGCCTCCACCACAGCCAGAGCTTCTTTTATCTGCTTGGCCTGGATATCTAGGCTTCTCTCCAGGAGGTTCCAATCAGCGACCATTGTTTCCAATCTTGGACTGAGACTGGATGACACGCTGGGAGACTGCTCTATGATGTCCTGGCCCTGGAACACTACTCGCTCTGTCTGGTTCTGGTGGGTTTGTACTTCAAGGGAAAATGCCTGAAAGAACATGGAAGAAAAAAAAGTTGAAACTTAAAAGAATGTACACAATTTACCGTACTCTCGCTTTCCCTCTGTTTTTCTCTCAAACTGAAATCGGATCCTGCACAAAGCAATATTGATGCAAATTCACATTCAAAGAGACCATGAGCCAACATTTAAGCCCCCCCCCCCCCTCTCAGAAAGCTATATTTACATACAGCCACTTATAGTTTACCCCAGTCTGACCTTTGACCTTAAACTGCTTTCAGACTAGCAAGCTCTCTTCATAGTAAAATATAGGGCCTCAGCTGAAGGAGCTTTATGACGATTCTCTGATTTAATACACATTCTACATGTAACTCATAAAAAACCTTGTACACTGCATAACATCACTCATGATGATATTTTAGTAGTGATGCATCTTCATAATTATTATCACTGTTGAAAACACTTTCATATCTTCTACTGATTTAATTCCAAGCACCTTGAACATGTAACTTTTAAAACAAAATATAAGTCCAAGATATTATCATATGCTTTGTCAGATGTTTTAGGAATTGATCAATTCAATCACAAAAGCAGATTTATGAATTTCAAACAATTATCTTTTTTTTTTAAACAGAAAAATTGTGATATGTGCATAATATCGTAAAACTCCTAATGCAATGTCTACTTTGAAGTTGACACATGCTAACTTGCCTTCAAACTCAATATCAATTCGCGATATTCTTTTTAATTTTTTGTAATCTGGACGGTCAGTGGCATTGGGTGTTGGTCAGTCTAGGAGGATTATATGAGGGAATGTGTCAAAGAGATTAGGACTATCTCTTAACTTATTCTGACTCATACTGTCTAGTCGGCTTAGTCACTGCACTGGATATTATCAATTATAAAGCAGTTGCCATGGCGAAAGAGATAATTGGCCAGACACTAAGGAGATTAATCAACACCTGTTTCTGAGCGAGGACTAAAAGCAGACAGGTTCATCGATATACTACAGAGCCTACAAAGTGCACAGTACAGCACATTGTTTTAGCAACATACATGTATGTACGTGAAATTGATATATAACTATTTTATGTAATTTACAAATGTACTTCCAAACATGATTCACTCATAGAAAATATAGAAATTAGTTAGAAACAAATCATAATTCTCTGGGACAATTAAAATAGTATGCAAGTACAGACACTGTACTACAGGGTCAGTCAAAGTAAAAATATTATATGTGTACATGTACATTTGATTAGTTTCTGAATTCTGATTAATTTACTCTTCCCCTTCTATCTACATTGTACATCAACAATATACATGTAGGCCTGCATTAAATTATCACTTATTAATTAATCATTGAATAAGTAAGCCATGTATATACAACAAACAGGACATAGATAAAACATTCTTCAATATCTATTATGAAAACATGGAAGTGCAAAGATATGTAATCCCTCTACTTAGGCCTTTTAAATCAAAACGCTATTGTGTTCATCGACACCTATCCCTATCAATACTCTCAATTTATGTGTTGGAAATCTTACATGTACACGTGTATCCCTTAGACTTCTAAATGGTGAAAATATACTGTAGTTATACAACAAAACAAGTTAATGAGACCTATTGGGAAATGCAATTAATAAGGGCTCGACACTAACAACCACCTGGGACACTAGGGCACCCGCAAGCCAAGACCCCCAAATTCTGAAATGTTTACATAGAGCTCATGCATGCAAACTCTAAAATGTTCAATCCCGACCCCTTCCAACAAAGTTAGCGTAGAGCCCTGCATTAATGTACATAAATGCACATAATTAAAAAGGTGGGAGAGTCCTGTCTATAGCAACAGGAAAGAGGCTGCTGTACTAATCCTTTGCCTCCGTTTCTAAATGAGATTGCTCTTCACATCAATAATTCTGAACAAATTTACAGACCGTGAGTAAATCAAGTGTTTGTTTTCTACAAGCCGAAGCTTCAGGTAGGTGTGCTGAAAATGTCACGAACCTTCAAGAATCAATCTTGTGAGAAACTCAGAAACAAGTCTTTCCGAATCATATTACTTCTGCTCGTCTTAATTTTCTCTTCTCTCTCTCTCTCTCTCTCTCTCTCTGTGGATCCTTTAATTATTGATTTTGCTTCAACTGCTACTTCAAGAGTAAGAAGAACAAGTAGGGACTAGGGAATATTGCTCTAGATCGTAACGTCAGCTGGGGGAAGTGAAATCTTTCTCAGGTGATGAAATAAGTTTCCTGGCCAGAATCCGCTTGCGCTGACTCATGTTAAAGGACAAGTCCACTCGAAAAATACCTTACTTTCAATAAAAGCAGAAAAATCAGACAAACCAATCAAAAGAAGTTTGAGCAAAATCGGATAACTAATAAGAAAGTTATGAATTTTTGAAAAAGTATGTAAAACTATGGAACAATGAGAATCACGACGCAAATTGCCAAGATGGTTGTGACGTCATGTCCTCACAACTTATCAATTGCTTTATATAGTTTAATCCCATTAATTTCCCTTTTTATCCCCCAGAACTAGATTTCCCCATGCCTTTGCCCAGGTTATATGATTTGTATCATATTGCGCGCATGACATTTCCCAAAAACTTTTATGAATTTTGAAAAATTGATACTATTTTCTGAATATTGTATATTCATAATTATTGATTTTTATATAAACGTTTATCAAAATTCAATTTTTTATGATTTAACTGGACGAAAATTACTCTTTATTTTTTGCATCCACACAAAACATATTACTAACAATCTAACTTGGATGCTGGTGTGAAAAAATACGATTCTTAGGGTGAAAATATGAAATTTATAGTATCAATATAAAGAAAATAATTAGTGGATAGTGAGGACCATACGTCACAGACTCATGAGTGAGTTGCCAATTTGTGTAGTGATTTTCAAAGTTTTTCATGTCATTAAAATTGTATAACTTTCTAATTATTTATCAGATTTTGCTGAGACTTTTTTTGATTGGTTTGTCTGATTTTTCTGGTTCTATTAAAAGTAAGTTATTTGTGGAGTGGACTTGGGCTTTAAGTTTTGTGGAAAATGTAGCGTTGTTCGCATATTAGGGCATGTAGCATAATAGATAGATGTGCATATTTGGGTATATTGTCGACTAGTCATTGATTTCTCTAGAATAATACAATCATATAGCATACGACATTTTGGGGAAAGATAGTCAAAAGATCCTATATGACCAAGAAAAAAATGTTGTAAGACCACTGTCATGACTTCAGAAAATTATTGGATTTAGGAACAAAATAATTCTAGTAATCTAATAAAATGACAATGATTTCTAAACAATTTCCTAATTGATTGATAAACATGGTTCTGCTATGTCCAAGTTAATGTTTTATCAAATGATTTCTATCCTTTGAACAACTAAAATACCATGAAGGACAATATTGAAGAGGGTCACAGAAATATTGTTTTCTTGTGTGTGAATGATTAGGGTCAATATTATATGTACAAACATATTTAGTAGGTGGATTCATCAATACCTAAATATGGATTGATCGACCAGTTCACTATTATATGAATGAGTTTCGCATCATTTCATCAATAGGGAGCAATTAGCAACTCGCCGACATCATCAAATTATCACTCTCATTAGCAAGCTATTGAGTTGGTGACTCAATGCACTAGCTTCATACATCAGTCACTCGTTATTTAATGTAATGGAGGCAGAAGTGTGAGTAGTCTTGTTGCACAGACTCCATGCAATCACTAGATTGATCAGTTGGATATTACACTAACAATGTGGGAGAGTTTAGTATAGACATGTAGATGTAAAAGTATAACCAATGCAATATTGAGAAAGGATAAAGGTTCAATAGTATTACTGCTAAATTGAATCTTATAGCAGTTCACAGTACAGTGAATAAATAGCCTAATTCCTGGTTTGTATTTATAGTAATCCTGCAATTAACATTCCACTCGTCCTTCGATAAACAACATTAAGCCTGAAATGGATTGTTTAGTAAATAAATCCCTCTAATGGAATCTTTCATTGTTGTAACACACAACGCTCAAATCGAATCGCACAACACTTGAATCACGAAGACTAATACATGTAGTCATCAAGCCAATTGCCATGCGTTGAGCCTGTCCGCTTGCACGCATGACTATGCTTCTGCAAGACAGTGATCATCAGCGCTTAACGAGAGGGGCAGTATAGGGGTATTGGATTAGAGATGCAGACTCCACGTGCAAGGCTACGTCACACGGATATGGCCAGCGTCATCAGAGAACAGCATTTAATAGTCACAGATTATGGCCAACTTGCGTTCTAAAACATGTGCATGTACAGTATCTGTGTGCCTACATGTACATGTACAGTACATATAAATGTGATTAGCTGACGGTGTGTTGTGTAAAGAAAATCACAGATGAGTATAGTGATATAAATATAATTTAGGTATATATCATATCAAAACATATGTTTTTTATTTTTTGAAAGGATTGACAAAAAAGGAGCAAAATGAAAAAGAATACTGACGATCATGACAGTGCGATTAAAAAGGATGCTGCTAATATAATTTACTACTAATATCATATACTGAATTTGTGCAATTGATTGTCTGGTTGACAAACTTTAAGATGTGAACACACCCTACAGGCCCTTACAGTTTCCATGAAAAGGTGAGTGTCAACTACTGTATTAACATACAAAGACACTAACACCTGGATATAAATAATGGAATCAAGTTTCAATTCTGTATGCTAGATTAAATTAAGTTGCTACCTACATGTACAGTCCATCATGGGAAACTGTTGCTACATGTAGTTCAGACAATGTCTAATAAACTTAATAGGGATTTCAATGGGTTCCATCTGAACAACTCATTTAATAAGTAACAAAAGATTAAAATAGCAACAACAACAAACATCGCAGAATATCACTAGAACGAAACAAGGCAGTCAAATCCAAAGCTAAAATGCCCTAGAAAATAATAAACTTGAATAACGAGAGAAATACCCTTATTCAGATGCGAGCATTAACCAGGGGTTTTAAATTTTTGTTTCCACACGAGAACCAGAAAATATTACAATAATTTAAATTTTCAAAATTTGTGATCCCATGTACATCCGATGCTCATTAGTCTTGAACCCTACATGTATATTAACACAATAACAGGTAAGATTCTACACACTTTTGGGATGTCAGGTACCATAACAATCTATTTTGGGGTACATATAAAAAGTTGTCAAAGACATAACAATAGCTAAAAGTGAATCATATTCCCGAGTTTAATGATTTCACTGCTTACTGTAATTTAAATGGAATTGCAGCCCGTTATACACACAATAGAAGTGTCAAAACAAATTTATTTGCAATATGTGTAATGAATTTTGACCTATTGTGAAGATCTTTACACAAAATATTGGAAAATATATTGAATTGAATTGCATTGTCACAGACAGTTGAGCAAATAAAATATATCATTGTTATCTGTTGAATTAAAATGTCTCCTTTGTAATGTTTTGATAGAATTATTGATTAAATTTCAATTTCAAGGTGAGGCTAATAATTTGTAATGAAACTACACCTTCAGTAGTTATCATACAGACATGGGAGATGGATACAATCATCCTTATTACAGGCCCAATACAGGAAAATACTAATGTCACAATGGCTGGTAGTTCTTTTCCTTCCTTTGGGGGTGATGTTCATGTAATGAGATATAATGAAATAACAATGAATGATAGGGGTATCATTTTTACTTCATATAGAATAACTCTTGTGGCCTATTGCAATACATCGAATCTGTAAAGTCATTCTACATATCACCACTGATACAATCTCATTTGACTCAGACCAGAAGATAGCATAGTTCTATGTCTGATGAAAGAGCTCTTATTTCTTATTTTCTTTGTGAGGGATGTTGTAAAACAGTGATGTCCCAACATTATGAACCGTATTCAAAATATTCTAATACATTAATCAAAACAAACAAGTGCAATCTAGGAAATTGTGTAAATTCTGAACCAAATGACAGAGTGATGTAGGTGTACTTGGTGCCTCCTTGTAAACATGTCTGGACACAGTTAATATGAGTACAAATAAACTCCATTTATATTCAGGGTAATGTAAAAGGGACTTAAAACATTTCTTTTTTGTAATCAAGATTTTTTGGATTCTGTAAGTTTTCTTTTTCATTTTTTGTAGGATTCTTCTTGTTGAAGGCGCTTTGGGCTGCTCTGGGAAAAGCGCAGTAGATAAATAATAATAATAATAATAAGTACTTCCTAAGCAGTTTGGAAACCAGCCTTTACATAATAATAATAATAATAATAATATTGGATTCTTATATAGCGCACGTATATATACATGTATATAATAGAAATACATATAATTCAACTTACTGGGATAACACCTTCTGCACATAATTATACATTCTAAAGTTATGCACCATTATAATATTGGATGAATGATTGAGAACTCACCAGATGTCTCTCTAGTTGTACCCTGATGCTAGGGATACTGTGGGATGGTGCCTGCCAGCATTCTGTAAACTCAACAGCTTCTTTCAGCCATCGTGTCACCTGATCAAGCTCATCATTGAATACCTGCATCAAATAAAACAAAGGCATCAATGAAGGTATAGCGAAGGGTAGAAGTAACTGCATCAAAGTCAACAGATACTTCAAATTCAAATGGTTGCTTGTCATTATAGATGACTGAGTAAAGTACGCTTAATTACATAGAATACCAATTATTATGTAACCATGGTTATGGCAGTTTGAAAACGCTATCTTACTTCCTGGTGTAGTAACCTACAATTGGACTCTTAATCAGGCTTAGTGTAACATATTCAGAAATCCCCATAGTACTGTACAGACTGTTTTTTTTTAATGTCAGTTCACAGAACAGTTTCTGCCATGCCATACTGTCCAAAGAACTGTCTTTCAAAGGTATTGACATATGACCTCATGTATACAGTGTACAAATGTTACCAAATGCTAATGCACAAATTCGTATCCAAATCAATGTCAAAGTATCATTTCCCCATGAAATATTTTGTTAACCCTCTGAGATACAAGTATAAAGCCTATTTGAATGTGAAGTTGCATCAATCTTAAGTTGAACTGCACTACTTGCACCCTCTTTATAGCAAACAATGCCTTGAGCGGTACCCATTGGTCCCCCATGACCCCCTTTTTCTTATGTTAATTGAGAGCTGATTTGATGAGATAACCACCTGTCAGTGACCACGCAGGGAGGTCTAATCCCTCCCGGTCAAACTAGTGCAGACACGCTTTAAACTGGAAGAGGAAAATAAGCACTTTTGGCAAACTAGTAACCTCTTTATTTTCTCTACACATTTTCTACAGAGTTCTTTTGTACAGTACTGTAGTACATGGATATGTACATGTAACCTGTGATAATTATTACCTTACAATATTTGTCCAACACTGAACTCAAACAAACTTTCATATCTTCTTCTGTGTGTCTATTCATAGTTTCCGTTATCTCAACCTAAAAGTCCTTCCTCGTTTTCCAGCACAAAAAAATACAGTGTATAGTCCACATAACTCCTTGAAAACACTTTACAACATATAATCCTAGAGACCTTTGCAGAGAACATTTCCTACGATAGCAAGCAGGAACTTTGAAAAGTGCACGGAAGTTAGCAGGACTCTCACAAAGTAACACAACTCATTTTCCGTCCGATACTCTTGTCAGAGTTTCACTTTCCATAAATGCCTACAAAGCCTTCAATGACGCACTGCAGCCCTACATGCATGTACATTGTAGCTGCACACATGCTCTTAGACATCGTCTAGCCCTAGCACAGTGATCATGATGATATACATGCCTGCTATAGCCAATACAAGGGAAGCGGCGAGGTTTCCCTCAACCCCCATACCCCATACCCCAAATCTAACGTGGGAGGACATCTGGTTTTAAGCAATAATTGCTATATCCTCTAACTAAAATAAAGTATGGAGGGCAGCTAGGCGACATCGATTCCATAGGAAGTCCTGTTGGATAGACTGTCTTGGGCTGTGTTATCTATCATTGGTAAAGGCTAAGACACTTGACATATGGGTCTTTATAGATTGTTTGATTGGATAGAACGACATCTGCGCCTTCCCAGCAGGATATTAATGGTCCCAGCAAGGCGCAGTGTTTGGATCTACTGTGAATGCATGTTGTGATAAGATCTTCTGTTTCATGGTTCAAATATTAATAAGCACGCTCGGACTATCAGCATGAAGCCAGATTACTTTCTTGGTCGGCTTTACAAAATTGTTCGGCCATTCATAATCAATGTTTAAAAAGACAATACCAGTCTTGGTAAAGTAAAATGAGATTGGGGCCCCTATCTTGTGATTACGGTACAAAGAACTGATCAAAGATATTTCTTACAGTCATTAAATGTGCACAGGCTTCTGGTTGATTTGGGATTTACAACCAAGTTTGATTAAGATTAATTGTCAATCTTCAAAAAATGAAATGCAGGCCTACTACAATTATTGATACATTTTATATCTCTATACTTTAATTTCCAGATCCAATAATAATGTATATTTTTATATTGGTGAGTTCTGATCTATTCTATTCCTCATATTTCAATTTCATTAAACTTAATTGACCATGGAACGATACATCCAAATATTAAAATCAAAAGTCAGGAGCCTTTTCCTACCAAATATTCATATTATTAGTAATCAAACTATCATCAAGAAAATATGTGACCCACTCACCTCCCAGAGATTGCGGTCTACGTTGTTCGGAATTCTTGCGTAACCATGGCAACCACTACTGCTCCCTCCTGTCCCAGAAGATTTAGATGATGATTGGGAGGGATTTGACCTCTTGTGGTTGAACCAAGTATGACCTTTGCCCTGTTTGGCCTGTTCCATTTGTCTGGGAAGGTTATTCTCTTTCTTCTTCTTCTTTCTCATCGACCTTGGAGATGAAGACTTCTTGTTGTTCTTGTTGTGGGATGAAGGTGAAAGGAAGGTTTGCCAGAAATCCATTGAAGCAAACATCTTTGCATTCTCCGATGGATAGCCTTTTATTAAAGATGATGAATCAGATCACACTACCGTATGCTGATAATGTAGTTTTGAACTTGGAAGATGTGTAGCTATGTAGACAAAATACTTGTAGAATCAAATTGTCAAGATCTGAAAGAACAAGAAAATGCAGCAGTGAGCAGAGATGATTTTAAAATAAAAGCATTAATATAATAAGGAATTAAGAATGAGTATTAATAATTTTGAATAAGACAAAAATCAGATCATGAAACAAAACTGCTAACTGAAAGCATATAGTAATAATGATATCCAAGTTAAAACAATCAAATACAACAAGTAGATTAAAAACAAAATCAATACCATCAACATATTTCGACTATTGTGATTATAAGATGATTGAAACGGGAGAAAAAATTCTGTAGTGATGACTCAACAATCAACATAAACACAATGCACACAAAAATATAGGCCAAAGAATGTCTTTATAATGTTCACTTCCTACCCTAGAAATTAATATTTGCTATTCACACAAAATGGTGTGCAATCTACAGTATCAAACAATCATGAATTATGTTTATATAACAATGAAAAAATCAATCAGCATGATGATAAACAAACTATGTATAATTTAGATACACCAAGCAAAGTGATCAACCATGATGAAAAATAAATACCTTTTAATACCCCTTTGTTTTGTGGAAAAATATGAAAAACTCTTTTCAGCATAAAATAATCCTGGATCAAACTGATTGGCTTAAAAAGACTAGCACATTTCACAGATAATTTGATGAGATGTTTATCAAGCTAGGTGCTGCTGTACTTTGGTAGTATGGTATTTAATCCTAGCAATAAGCGGGGCTCTTTGCTTTCACAGGTAACAGGCATGAAATCTGACAAGGTAGATGGCACAGGGGAATTTCACATTGACAAGTCAACCTGAAAATAAAACAGTGAGAGGCTGTAGGAGGTAGTATGTGGCATCTGCGGGTTACCATTTTGAAAGAAATACATGTCACTTCCTCTCTTTTATACACAAATAGAAGTGGTGTAGTACTCGTAGTCTAGTAGATGTGTAGTGGACAAGTGGTTTAAGCACTTGACTTGAAATGCAAAGGTTGTAGATTCAATCCCCAACCCACCACTGTATTTCATTTGGCAAGCCATTAATCTACATTTGCCACTCCATAGCCAAGAGAGAAATGGAGACCTGGCTGGGACCCGTTTCACAAAGCCTTTTTTCTATGACAAATGACAAAAATCAGTGACAAATCTGTTGATAACCAATCAGAAGCAAGGATTTCAGTAGCTTAAACAATTATTTGTCACTGATGACAAGTTTTGTGAAACAGGGCGCTGGTGGGATGATGAAAGCCTTTGTGTTTAATAGTTAATTGCAATATGCCCTCACAGTGACCATGAGGTAGGAATTGTTCCCAGGGAGTGGAGATGGTGTACATTGAATGAATCCGATGATCACCGGGGTAATAATATCTGTAAAGCGCTTAGATATAACATCATACAAATGATATGTATTATTTGTTTTACATGATTATGTTTTATTATTTTATACCATGATTTTACTAATGACTGGTCTTTTTTTTTAATGACCGGTCATTATCAAAATTAAGTGTTAGGCAAAATAAATGCCTCGTCATGTGTACACTCTCAACCAATCATTTGATTATGATCAACTTCATCATCTTATAATTTGTAAAAGTGCTATATACATGTACAAGTACAGTACCTACATGTAAATCCAGATTATCATTATTATGAATTACTAGTGCCTCTCATATTCTTGCTATATGTACTTCAAGGATCATGCATAGGATATTGTTAGGATAAATCTTTATTCATGTTTCTGTACACATCTACAGTATGAACAATAGCATGCATCTTCAGGTTTTATCTTGAATGAATTACCCTTTCCATAAACAGAAGGGGGAAGAAACTGAAGGAACTTAAAAGTCATAACATCAATCCGAAACAAGCTAGCAGATTTACAATACATACTGCACATCAACTCAATGGCCATCCATCTGCATGGAATAATAGCTGACCAATTAACTAAGAATTACATCATCAATAGATACATGTACATGAAACTAATTGCTTTTAATAATCAGTCAGATCTCGACTGTATACATTTCAGCATTGAGAACTTGTATTGAATATTTACCATAGATTCAGTACTGACACAGACAGGTAAATGCAGGCCTATACACTGTACAGGTACACTGTGGTTCGGCTAAAGTCCACACACGTGTACCGGTACTTCGTTTATGCTGCAATCAAATCTATGCTTCTGATTCAGAGGCGCACTGTTGTAGAGCTGCGCATTTTTAATCAGCTGATCATTTTGTTAGAAATCGATTTACGTCAATTGGTCATTTCGGTCATCACATGAGTCAGATTAATATTGATTGATTCCTCCTAAGTCCACTGGCTCAATTGCTAGGTTTGCTTTTATTACACTATAGGCACCTGTCTCTCTTAATATTCATTTTCTACAGAAGAAGTCAAAAACCCTCTTTTGGGGAATTGCTCCCCCCCCCCCCAATTTATTTGTCACTCTCATCTAGGCAATTTACCTAAATTATTTAATATATTTACTACATTATATATGAAATCTTGAATTAAAATAGAATGAAACTACTACAAGGAGTAAAGTAAATTTACACAGTGCATGATGTATGGAGTATATTTGCTAACACACTAACACCTTGCCCTACTATAAAAAGATACAGGCACCCTACAGCGTGGCAATATATCACAGTGTATTATAAATCTGTGTCATATATCAAGCATTACTGCCATCTCCCTGCTCCGACTGTATAAAGACAAGCGAACCCGAGAGAGATCCCTCTATAAATGCACACTACCCGGCCAATATCTTACAGCATCCCGATGAACCTTGTGTCTTATACAAGGCCACTCTAAAGATACTGCCTCAGGGTGCCATGACACACTTTATCAGCATTATGAAAGCTAGGCTATTACCATCTCTTGAGGGAAACATTGGAGATGCTAGACAAGAAAATTATCAATATTAGAAGAAGAGATGCCGGTATACAAGACATGTACATAGTACATAATGTAAACAACAAATGGGAATCATCATTTGAAGAACATACATGTACATGACACATGTACATGTATTTGCCTACAGTACTGGGTACATTGAGAAATTCTTAAATATATTCTATTTTATACTGAATGATGCATGATCATGAATAGCAAAGGATACTTGTACATCTATTATCCATGTACATGTACTCTGTACATCTACTGATATAAAAGCTAGCTGACAAGATCCTGGAGATCCAATAAAACCAAAAAAATCAAAGCAAATTATGTATAAAAAGCAAAGTATTACATACATGTAAACTGTAACTTACATGTACTTGTACATAATTCTACTGTCAATGAACACTAAATTCCCTTTCTCATAATTATGAACTTAGCTTTATACAAAACCATAACACATGTTGAATATGAAACATGACAATACGCTTTCAAAAAGCAGAGGGGGAATCTGTACTAATTCCTCAATTAATAAACCAATGCAAATTAATATACATTGTACCCTGTAGTGTACAGCACATTACAAATACAATCTACAGATGGAGAGGATTTGTATGCTGGGCTACCTCCACATGTGTACTGTATGTACTTAGTACCTGCGTTTTTTTTTTTAGAATTAATTACATTCATAAATATCTACAAGCAAAGAAAGCCCATATTGTAGATGCAGCATACACCTGTACATGTATATCGTTAGATGCCTGTCCCCATCTCATTTTGAGCATTTGACAAACCACACTACTCCATCAATGAAGCGGAACTAATATGCATCCTTTAAGAAACTGTTTGTCCGTCCACAGTATTCATCTCTCAACAGATAAAAAACGGACACGGTTCGTAAGTTCCTGTCTAAATACTCCACTGACAACGTTAATTAAAATTACATAATGCACACAGTAATAAGCACTAGGAAAGATGAATACTATGCATGTACTGTACATGTGCATTCTGAAAGTAGTCCAATATATTATATATGAAGAAATCAAAATGATAATAGTGACAGAAAAGGGTAAAGGGAAAGGTAAACCTACATTATGTTATGGACCATCATGGTGTTGCTACATATGAATGTAAGACTCGATGGACTTTACAGCTCTATCAACATGAGCTCACTGCCCAGTATGAAATCCATACTGTGCCACAAGTAATAGCATGATCTCATTGACACAATCAAAACAAATACTATCAATAACAACTTTACCTTCAAAGTTTCTTCACTTCAGTGTATGCAAGAAGAAATGAATATTGCAGGCTCTGAAAAACTCTATGCTCCGAGTTGATAAAATATGTCCACGACTGTACAGTATCATCAGTTGGCATTTAAACGTGCATGCCTAAAATCCAGTATTTCTGCACTCAGTCCCCGGCCCGGTTCCTTCAGGCTTCAGCTTCCTAGGCTCTAGCTCACTCAGCTGCATTTATTAGAGTCGATCGTCCCTGGCAATCAGACACTTTTGAAGGATGCAGCTGAATTACACTGGACACTCTCTCACCCACGGAGGGCGTTACCATGTCAAATAAAGCAGCGTTGGGACTTTGGAACCATGCCACAATGCCACTTACTAGATTTCCATTCAATTCATTAAAGTACACAGAGAAAATATATATAATGATGCAAACTGGCAAAGTTTGAAAAAGCACAAAAGAACACTTCTAGAACTCGTGTTTGGATAACTCAAGCATAAAAACCCATGTTAACATTCAAATTTCATTTCAATATTCTAATAATAGAGACTTTGAGTCTTGAGATTGAAACATGTAACAGCAAACCAATCAATAATATTTTAGCATATCATTTGATCATATATACATGTATATTCAATTCTCCACTCCCTGAAGACATTCAACTTTACACATGTACATTAGATTTAGGAATATTTGTTCAAATGTGTGCAATTGTATACTCACCACAAATGCAATCAATAAAAGTTTTAGTATCTCATGTAGACCAAGTAGAAATTCTTTTTTCTAAGTAACTTTCTGTATTGTGCTAGATGAATGAGGTAAGTGCAAATTAAATCAGACTGGACATTTAACTTTGTTGGTCCCTTTTATATGGTCTGCAGGAAAGCAAAGAAATATTGATCGTTGGGTCGCTGCCAAAACTATTGTGGTGGAACATGAGTATCATTGTTATGCTGTCATCCTTTCCCTTATTATGCACATCCCTTTAAATTCAATTTCTGTAGTAGATTTGACCTTGCAATTAAACAATAGATACATGTACATGTGATGCAAGAATCTCACACACCTCAATATCCCCCCTTACTTTACGTCAAACACAAAACCATGAGACGTTCATTGACGTGCTCTTGTCCATTCAGGAGGGCCCCAGGGGGCACACCAAAGGGCACACCAGTAGACATAACAAAAGAATAAATCTGGCCTTTTAGGAGTACCCAGAATCATTGATTTGTCCCGCAATAGACGCTCATGTGGTTTCCCAGACCCCTCAACAATCTGACGTTTGAATAGACTGAGAACAAAGCTAGCGTGGCGTAATCTATAAAGAAAGCGTCTCTCTCAACTCAAGATGAAATTCTCTGTAGCAATAGTCATGCTGGATAGTGGATGCACTCTTTTGGAAGGGAATTCTAAGAGTGCTGTATTTGCTACTACTTCTTCACATTCTACAATCATGATTCATGAGGTCATCTATTCAATCACTTTTAAAGTTCAAACGCACAATGTGGCAAGATGCCAGCAAACATATGATCAACTACTCAAATGGCAAATTATAAAATGGGGATTCAATAACACAAGATGACAACCAAGAAACCTGCACATTTACTCACATGTACCACCCCCACCCCCCCCCCTCCCCCTAAGTCTACAATATTCACGATTTCACTTCATATGCAAACATGACATTTTCCTTACCAATGACCAGGAAATTATTATTTTGCACACAAAAAATGAAGGTCAGACACTTCAAAGTTGTGAAATTTAAAATTAATGGACCTCATTGCCAATTACATGTATTCACAGTTTTACTACATTTGTACTTGTTGGATTAGGAATTGTAGATTGAAAAAAACTTTATCCTCGTTGTCTTTTTCATACATTGTCATGCATGTGTGATTTATAACTTTACGCTTCTTTGAAAGCTTGTGTCTTTCTTTAGGTCAGTGATACAAGCAAGTTATTATTTATAAGTACACTGAAAAAGAAAAAAAGAAACACATCCTACATGTCTTTTTAGAGTTCCCAAAAGTTAATGTGACAATAACTGCTAAAACAGATCACTTAAGTAATTAAATAATCACAAGCTATTCCGGTATGTTAAATGGAGAAAAAAAAGTATTTAGACATTGAGAAATATATCACAATACAAAGGCATTTGGGATGAATGGAATTGTTATACAAAAGCGTTTATTGTCACAGAAGCTTTTGAGAACTCTAAATCGATGTAAGATGTGACGAAAGGAATTGTTATACATGTACAAAAGTAAACAAGGATAGGATTATCAGTGTGTTTACAAAAAGTTGGGATACTCATCAAACTGAATTTCATTATTTCTTTATTCCTTATAAGCATAAAACACTTCAATTTCTGACAGACGCTTTTCCTCGTTTTGAAAGTTCACCACTGCAATTTGCCTACATGTAGCAGCGTCAAAATGTGTGAAGTGCTGCTGTGAAAATACTGTTTGCAGTAATTTATGACAATACAGAACTCATATAGATTGGATTGAAAAAACACTGCACCTGTCAAATGGAAACATTCCCCACTAACACCTAGAGTACATGCAGATCCAGTATACTGACAAATCACACTTAAACTTGAAGGAGCAACCATTGTTATAGGGTGGGTCAGGGCCATCCTCTACTTCTCATACTCAAGCCATTGAACAAACATGAAAGTTTGAGTTATGGTACTGTATTTGTGGATATTCTTGTAGCTATTCAATAATCAACACAAAAGGAGGTGTTTTTAGATTGTTTGGATTTTTCACATGTATAACATGCAGTCCCACTGAGAATGTTGATTTGGTAAAGTGGAGACAGAAAGAGCATTTCCCAGGCTTTTCCCCTCTCTCTCTCTCTCTCTCTCTCTCTCTCTCTCTCTCTCTCTCTCTCTCTCTCTCTCTCTCTTTCGTTCTGTTTAATATTCATCTGTATTTCTGCACTTGCCTTCCTATGAGAAACAAAAGTTAATACAAATATGTATTGCAAGTTTTGTAACCCTTACACATATGAATTAACATATAATTTAGTTGGTTATTTTGTTTGTAGATGTATTATTCCCATATAATATCAAACATAATGTAGGCTAACTGCTACAATGTTCTTACTCATACAGCATACAAGTACATAAACATGAAGATGAATATTGAAAGTTCTGCAAATTCATCCATTTGAATACATAAAAATCGAGACATTTCATTTTCATACTGTATCATAATCACATTTTCAAGACAATGAAAGAACTGTAATATTGATGCACACGTGTACACGTAGATTTGATAATATCTTATAATAAAAAGGAAAATATTAATTTAAGCATTCATTCTTTTCCACAAAATGTAATGAAAACTGAATATGACCTACAAAGGGGGGGGGGGGGGTATTATGAGAGTGTGTTTCTCTCTCCCACGAACCGCTGAGCAAACCCAGCCAGTGATGTTCACATGAACAGATCAATTTGTAATCAGGCAGAGTGGATGAACACCAGGCAGACCAACACCAAGTTCAAACATGGGGCATAATACTAAATCGTTCAGGCAAACAAACCCGGTCCTGCCATGGGACATTATGTCCATAGAATATGAATCCATCTTCCCACCCTTCCCTTCCCTTCCCTACAAGATGACTGGAACCAACTTACGTGTACTGATAAGCCATTTGCAAAAGATGTTACAGGTGCCTGTATGCTAAATTCAAAATGCCTTATTTTCAGTAAGTAGCATCTACATGTACATGTAGGTCTGTCTATAGTCTAGCATATTTTGTTCATGAAAATTGCTCAAAGCATATGCCTTCATGTTGTTATCCATATCCACTAGCTACAAGTAATACTGTGCATGCCTGTTAGTCTGTAACAAATAAGTTTTCCGCTTACAATCATGTCAGTTGTATATAATGTTTATAATCAAACAATTATTTCATATTTTATGTAAACTGTGCAATGTATGATTCCTGTAATACTAATATATTCATATAGTAAATTGGAAAATACACGTGCATCCAGGCTCAATTCATAAACCGGTGCACCTTTGAAGTCAAATGAACAATCGATGGAGAAATGGGTTGACCTATTATGGTTATTTTTAATTGCATTTTCAAAGCGTGAACTTTTCATGACCCTCGTATCAATACGCTTCCAAAAGGCTATTGAATAGGGGTGGGATGAGGTGAACCAATGATATAATAATACATCACTAGAAAGGTTAGTAGTCCTACAGAATCCAGTTCATAAATGGTTGATTTAATTGATGATGACTCAATATTCATCACTTTATAATCTGCCATCTATATATTCTTTTTTTTCCTTCTTCTTTTTCTGTACATAACTCACACCTAAAACAAGAAGTTTAACTACTACTGTAAGTATATCCATGCTTATAATGACCATATTAAAAGAGATTGATTGAATAATTCAATAGCAAAATAGTGCAAGCAAAAAAGAATATGTTGCTATTGCTAAATCATTAATTCATGTCATGGTTTGCAAGCACAATATCATAAACATCTCTCTGACCTTAATATAAACTTTGTACCAGTAAGTGGGATTGTTTGTCTATTTTGTTTTTCACTAAAAAGTAATGAAAATTATGAAATGAATATACAAAGGAAGGAGTGTTGTTAGGTAGAGTGTACATTATACATGTGCACAACTACATGTATATTGAGGGATTTATTTTACTTATTTGAGTTGAGACTTGAGAAGTCATTGGTAACAACAACAAAAATGTAATATTCATTTTCAGCTTAATAAATAAAATTCCATGCCTGAAGACAATCATTAAACTAAGCATCAAATGCTTGGCAGTGTGAATTATATTGATAAAATAAATGTGTTTACGATACTACCAATACTTCCTTCTACTACTACTACTACTAGTACTACTGTATTACATAGGAAACCTGCATAAGCCTGCAGTACAGTAGTTCCAAATACATGTACATGTACCAGCATATCTAACAAACATTATGAGATATTGTGTAATGAAGTAACTCAGATTATGTGTTATCAAATACCAAATCAGAGTCTATTGTATTATTTCATGTAAAATCTAAAAAAAGACACCTTTTCTAATTTCAGAGCAGCTGATAGTATTACCTGCTTACAGTAGGATTGGAATTTGCGACCTCACTGGAATTCAAGATGTGACGCTGTACAGTACTGGTTGGTTGCCAAATCAACAAATACATCCAATTGATGCACAGCATGATATCAATAATCTTCAAAGACTAACATCTAGAGAACTGTACATATGTACAATCTACAACCTACATGTACATTGGTTGTACTGTACTTGTAATACAAGCTAACACTTAAATATCTGTCCA